CGCCGTCGCCAGCAAATTAAGGCGCAGGGCTGCGAGCGCCCGGGCGCAGTGTCTGCGGCGCGGTGTCGCGCTCCCGCTCCCTGGCGTCCACCTCTTATGCGTGGCGCTCCGCTGGTCTCCACCTCCCCGCAGCTTGGGCCGCTCCGGCTGTCCCCAGCGGGAGAAGGGAGGAAGGACGCGGAGGGGCTGCCGCGGGACCCCTGGGCTTTTTTTTCCGGCTTCCAGCCGCGCAGCCCGTGGTCCTACGGCGCGTCCCGGCGCTCGCGCATCCGGCGGAGCCCGCCCTTGGTCTTCTCCCGCCCTCTCCCGCTCGTTCGAAGTCTCTGCGGCTCGAGGGCTTTGCGGTGGGGGAGCGGAGAGGCCAGCGTGGAGCTCTCAGGAGGTTGGGGCTGACTCATCTGGAGTCCCCGGCTGCGCTGATTGCACTCGGAAACTTTGCGCTGTGTCCCGATCTTTGTCTCCCTTGGGGAAGCTGGACAGCAGTTCGGCAGGCCCCGTCCCTGGCCAGGACCACGTACTGGGGGCCATGGAGTTCACGGCGTCGCCCAAGCCCCAGCTCTCCTCCCGGGCCAACGCCTTCTCCATCGCCGCGCTCATGTCCAGCGGCGGCTCCAAGGAGAAGGAGGCGGCGGAGAACACCATCAAACCCCTGGGTAAGTCTGCCTGCCCGGCTGTCCGCGGTGGACAGAGGCGGAGCGCTGCGCATCCGTCCGCCCCTCTGTCCCCCGGCTGCGGGAGGCTCGTGAGGGTGACCGCCTTTCTCGGCTCGCGCGACAGCTTCTGACCCTCAGGCCAGAGGCCATACGTCGAGGATGGGAGGTATTTTTCCTTTTAGGCCCAAGTTTTCTTCGGGAACTCCACAGTCTGTTCAATACAACCGGTTTCGCATCTCGTATATGCGCTAATCGCTCTCCCTAATGGTGTAGAATCCCCTGTCAACTCGGATATATGGGGTCGGGGTGGGTAGGTAACATTGTTGGGATAGAAACATTCAGGGATAAATAATAACAAAACCCCTTGTTAGACTCGACAGGATTCACAATGCGTGCAACACCTGCTCGTGCATTTGAAACCAAGGACACTCTAAGCAACTTCACAAGAAACTAGTTTAATTTGTTTCCTCTCTGATTCCATACACTAAACAGAGTCAGTTCCTTCGAACCACCGTCAAGTGTGGCAGAATAAGGCAGTTCTTCCGGCATGACCCATTTTCTTCACAGAAGCTCTAAACTTATCAGTAAGACAACATTTTATAACCGCTGTCATTTTTAGTAGAGGCTGGCAAAAACATTACCCAGTAACCATTTCCCAAATTCCTCAACTTTTAGCTATACTGTTTATTTAACAACCTTTACCATTTATAGAAGACACTAGGCTCGGAGTAAAGGGAGAAAGGGGATTATGTTCCACTTATCACAAGTGACTTGTGTGGGAGAAAAACTGCTGGAGATGTGCTTTAAAGTCCCTTTACAATTGAGGGAGAAAGACGTGTTCTCATCATCCTCTTTTGGGTCCCCAGGAAATAATTATTCCATATCCTGATTATGTGATGCTCTAAACCAGGGGGAACACATCCCATAGCAAACAGGGTAAGATTTCTTTGGACATCTCCTTATGATTTCCTTCCTTCTCCTTGTCCTTCCCAACATCTCAATCGAAAACAGTAATAATATGAAAGATGAAGCATTAGAGAACAAAAATAAGGAGGCCTGAGCCGAGAGAGAAGAGAGAATGAAAACCCCTGTAGCGACTCGGAGCCAAGGGAAAAGCAACCGGAAAGTCTCTAGAAAACATGTCAACAAGTCCCTCCTCCCGGCTTTCACGCCCTTTCCCTGGTTTGTCTCACCCGCCCTCCCATCTATTCCTAACCTGCCAAAGAATTGCAAACAACCCAACAAACTCCAACTGTTTAGAAAAAAAATTAACCACCGATGTCAAAGTTATGTTCGTGGGACTTCCTAGTGCTACCCACTCCTGTTCCTTATAGATGACCCCATCACAGTCCGGTAGCTAGCAGGAAAAGAGGATTTCTGACAGAAGTACAGACAGAAGACAGGGACCCATGCCAGCTTCAGCTCCACCGTCGCGTCAACATTGCTTCCTTTTCTATTTTTCTGAGGAAAAAAAAAAACAAAAACACCTATCTAAATTCTAAATTATAAAGCCGTTCCCAGCTCACAGAACCACCCCCGCTACACACATGGTCTGTAACATGACCGTCCCTCCTGCGGCTTCGGAGATGGACTCGGAAAGAACTGGAAGGCATTCTTGTCCTTTTCAGGGGGCCAGTTCTACAGAGCACGATCAGTGACTATAAGCCACGGACTCCCCAGTCAGAGAAACACGTAAAGGTTCTGTCGTGGGAGAATGTTGTACTTTGAAACCCTAGTGAGATGTGGAAGCCGCTTTAGGGTGGGGCTCAAAAATGTCTCATAATCACTCATTTAAACACATTAAGTCTTTTGAGAAGAACTGCCTCAGACCACTAGAGCATTTCATTTAAAAAATTTTTTTTGAGCTATATTCGACATTTAGCATGTGTTAGAGCATTTCTCTTTCATTTTCTTCTTCTACTTTGCAAGCCGGACACACTGGTTCCTCTGGGGTTTAGGGAGTTTGCATTTTTCAAAGGTCAGAATATAGGAAAATTTCTAAGGCTGCTTGTTAATTCTCTATTAAGACCTTAAGTGCATGTGCTCCTAGAAATGTTAGCAGAAACTAAGATTTTGCCATAGTATCGTTCTCTTTCTTTGAATTTGAAAATATGAGGAAACGATAATTAATTTGATGATTCTTAATTTAAAATGTTTCTCTGTGTTGGATTATTATTCTAAGAAAAGAAAAGGTAAAAGTTCTCTATTTCCTGTGTGCCTGCCCCAAGTCAAGGAGAAATACCGGAAATAAAACATATGATATGTGTGTGTGTGTGTGTATCGTTACACACACACACACACACACACACACACACATACATACCTACTTTTAGAACTTGTTTCAGTTCCTTGAGGGCACTTAGAATAGTTGTTTGGAGATCAGTTTCACATTGCAGCTTCAAGTAGTTTCTTTTTTAAGGGATGCAAGATAATTGGGATAATTACAAAAGTCCCCCTGTATTCCATCAAAGTGACTGGTGTAGTCCCAGGCCCTTATCAGCTGTGGAGGAGAATGTGTGGTCATAGGCAGTGGTATTGCAGCGTGATGGTGGATGGCAAAGCCTTCTTCCTACTTTAATACTCCTGCTAGCCTGGGTTTGGGGTTGTTTTCCTTACTTCTAAGACCTTTTTTTGTCCAGAATGACCCAGAGAACACACTCCTGTGATTTAACAAGCTAAATGCTGGAGCCTTTCATAAGATCTCAGCCTGGGAGAGATATTGTAAAAATACCCTAATTTAACATCTTAAGGCCTAGGAATCAGAGAGCCAGGCAGAGAAGTGAAGTGAATTAATTTTTTTTCACCGCTCGCCTCTCTCTCCCACCTTGGGAAAGGCCCTGCCAACCCCAGGAAGGCTCTAATCTCTCCCCAACCTCTGTCTCCCAGAGGAAGGTCCCTCCTGGTTATGACAGGGGCAGGACTGGCACCAGATCCCATGAGCTGCCACATCTAGAACTTGGGAGGGATGACAGTAGGGTAACGATAATGCCGTCTTTAATATGATCTTTCCTCATATTTCAAAGTTTTCCTTGAATTTCAATTGGAACATTCATTGGAAATCTGGACCCATTTCATCTGACCTCCATCGAGCCTTCATGATCACCACCTTTCCTTTTATCTGCTCCTCACATGTTTATTCTCCAAAGTGGGTTTCAATGATGGTGACAAACCACGGTTCCAGAGCTCACTCATTTGGTTGTAAGCGAGCGATGGACATGGCACTCCGTGGGAACTCGCTCTTGCTTTATGTAATACTGGGTTCTTGCTGCCTTCTTGGAGTTTCTAAACTTAACTTCCAAGGTCAAATCCAGGTACCTATTTTAGTTGTGCTGTTCTCCTTCCTGTATCTTTGCTTGACGGCCTCAGCTGTCATTCTCCATCCTCTTACAGAACAATTTGTGGAGAAGTCATCCTGCGCCCAGCCCCTCGGTGAGCTGACGAGCCTGGATGCTCATGCGGAGTTTGGTGGCAGCGGAGGAGGCAGCAGCCCGTCGTCCTCCTCGCTGTGCACGGAGCCACTCATTCCCACCACCCCCATCATCCCCAGCGAGGAAATGGCCAAAATCGCCTGCAGCCTGGAGACCAAGGAGCTTTGGGACAAATTCCACGAGCTGGGCACGGAGATGATCATCACCAAGTCTGGCAGGTAGCATGCGAGGCGGGCGAGGAGTGGGGAGATGGGAATGGCGCCTTGGGTTTCCAAGAGTCTGCTGGTCCTGAGCGGAGAGAGGAAGCTTCGTCCAGGGAGGGCATCTTTCCACGGTCTGGCTTTGGGAAAGAGCTGCTCAGAGAGACGTCCCGGCATTTGCTTTCTCAGAATCTGGCCGTGGGAAGCCCCTCCCGGGTCTTGATGAGAAGGGCACAGAAACCGGGGAGCCCTGTCTGCTGCAGTCCGGGAGAGCACTTGGGGGTGCAGGGTCAGCATCTGGAAGGGAGGGAAACTCGAGTCCAGGATGCAGGGCATGCAGCTGGGTCTTCAGGGAGGCAGGTAGCTTCCTTTTTATCCGCCTCAATTTGCAGAAGCCGCCAGCTCGCATTAAAACTAAAAGGAAAACCTGGCGGAAGAAGGAAATTCGAAACGATCCTACTCTGGGGAGGACGGAGCGCTGGCGCGAAGGCCCCTTGGCGTGCAGCTGGGCGGGCTCCGGGCCGGCAGGAAGCCACGGGTGCAGGCGCTCCCCGGCCCGGGGCAAAGGCTCCCGAGGTCGGTGGCCCGTGGCGCCTAGTCGCTCCGGCTCGCAGGACTCCGCGTCCCCAACCCGAGAACGGCAGGCGCTCTCGCTTTCTGTGGCAGGAGTGAGTTTTGTCGCAGCAACGGGAGGGGGGACGGGAGCCCGATCGGCTTGGTCATCGGTCGGCTCATCAGGCGATGTGCGCTCCTGCCGCTCTTTGTCTCCCTGTCTCAGGAGGATGTTTCCCACCATCCGGGTGTCGTTTTCGGGCGTGGATCCTGAGGCCAAATACATAGTGCTGATGGACATCGTGCCCGTAGACAACAAGAGATACCGCTACGCCTACCACCGGTCCTCCTGGCTGGTGGCCGGCAAGGCCGACCCGCCACTGCCAGCCAGGTCTGTGCCTCCAGATTTCCCGCCTGAGCAAAACGCGTTTTAACCCTGCTGGCAGAAAGTCTCCTGCCCTGGTTGTTTGAATTGCGAGCAGGTCTGTTTTTCAAGCCCTGTGCTCTGGTAGGAGATCATTCCAAGCCCAGCACTCCAGGACTGACCATGCAAAGCATGAGCTAGTCTCTGAGAAAGGTGGAGTTTGTGCCTTTAATTTGATCTTCCCTTACATTTCAAAGTTTTCCTTAAATTTCAATTGGAATATTCATTAGAAATCTAGACCTATCTCGTATGACATCCATCAATTCTAGTTGGCTACTTAACACCAGAACGCATAAACCCACTGATGAAGTGATTGCCTCAGGATCCTTTTTTAGAAGAATGCATTTTAGCAAAGTGGTTGCTTCTAGTAAATATTGTTAACAACGTGGTTATAGTTGCACATAATACATATCATTTTGGTAAAATGTGGTGGTCTTTGATTGGTCAAGGGCTCAGAGATCTTTAAATCAGAAAAGCAAAGTCGTTTTCTCTCCTCTGCATAATAACTTCAGTGGATGAATATAATTCAGCATCCGGTTAATATTCTTTTACATGAAACATTACTCAGTTAATATATTAGAAATCGTATGTGTTTATTTTTGTGCTGTTCACTGGTAATAATGTTTTTCCAGAGAACCCTGCTTACAAAATCCCATGCAAACCATTATTTTTGCTGCTTTGCTGCATTGAGCATGCTGGGGTGGGGGAAGCACATGTATTTGGTTATGGGAATAGTAATAGTTGAAGTTACAAGACTCCAACTGCATATTCTAATACAAAAAAAAGAATTTTTTTTTTGTTCTATGACTATCTAAATTTTGTAATTGATTGAAAGTTCATATCAAAGCTAAGAATTTATTTAAATATGCAGATTTAGGAACTTTGAAGTTATGACTCGTTCTTTGTAAATATCTATCTGGAGCCTTCGTCAAGGCACAGAATCAACATAGATAATTTACACACACCGTTCAGAGGGAGTCGTAAGCTTCGATATATTAAAAAATATATTAAAGTCAGGACTAAGAAAAAAATTTTTTAATTGTTACTTATTTTTTTTTAGTTGAGCAAAATTCACCAGTTTACAATAGATATTTCGATGAAAATAATTTGTATTCTCTATCGTTATTATGAAATAGCCGATTCACATTACTCTCGAGCTTTTAAATGAGAGAGAATTTTAGCAGATTCCTAACCATTTTTACAAACAAACTCTTTTTTTTTTTCCCTCCCTTCAAAGTCATTCCTCTAAGAAGTCAATCACTGTCTGAAGGGATGGGGAACTGGTGCAGGCCAGCCGGACTTTGGGAATATGACATGCCTTGTTTATGTTACTAATCTGTTCTGCTTGGCGAACAGAGCACGTACCAATACACTATCTTAACTGAAGCATGTTTAAGCTATTGCTGGAATTTTAAGTCCCAGGGGCCTTGAGAGAGGAGGGGCTTCCTGTATGCTTTCTCATTCATCCTAGTTCAGCTTATTTATATTGATATTAGATTAACATGGTTAGTGCATTATAGGATAAAAATATCCTATATGATTTAAGAATAATAATTTATTACTAGTAAAAAGAAATAGTTTTATATTTTCTAGCTCCATAAAGGAAAGGTGAGGAACTCAGTAGGTGATCATTGAATAGTGGAAACGCTTTGTGGTTCTAGTTCTCTGAAGCATCTTATTTCAGACATAACTTCATCAGTCAGTCGTTCCTAATCAGGAGAAATAATGCCTGACAATAACAATAGATCATAATAATTGGCAAGACATTATACATGATCTAAAATAATGCTATATTTTCATGGACAGTCCCTCGAAAGTAACTGATATTTAAGTCAGGTAATCTTTATTAATGTGATTATATGTGGTGAGTTGATACTTAAAGGAAGAACATTTCATCAGCTTCTAGGACCTTAAATGTTTTCGAACCTTTTTTGGCAGGGTGAGTAGGATGTGGCGCTGATCAGGGAAACATCTGCACGCCTAGAAAGTTAGAATATTGGAGGAGCGATACTTGAAAAACTATTATAATTTGTGTCATCAAGGAATACTTCAATCGAAGGGCACATTTGAGCACTCCTAAAAAAAAAAAAAATCAAACAAACAGGCAAACGGACATCTAAATCCTTTCAAGCTCTTGCTTGGGTGAAGTAAGAATCTTTCGTGCGATCAGCCTTTTTTGTGCTTTGCTTCTGATAGGCCTTGTTTCAGCATGTGCACCGAATTCTTCTAGTCTTAGTCCTCCATGTGACAAACCACGGCACAGACTTCTTCTTGTTTGCATGAGTATTGCAAGGAAAAGTTTTGTGACTTTTTCCCTCGCCTTCGTGCTAACCATAATACTTATATTTAATCATAGTTATAAGGATCCTATGCAAAATTTAAATATAAATCACCTATTACATGGATAAAGGAATTTGTCTTGTTGAATCAAAGATATTTCCTGCTCCTCTCTATAGTTTCCCCTAACTTCAGAAAAGCTCGCGTCAAGTGGCTACCAGGGCTGTGATTTTTAAAGAATTGTACTTAGTCTTATATTCGCAGGTAGGACAAATGGCCTGCATTTAACTGTGAGTGAGTAAAAGATTGCCTTGCACGTACTAGCTAATCAATAGATAAATGTTTGATAAACACATTTTTTTCCCATCAATTTTTTCTTTTTTTTTTGGCTTAGGCTGTTTACAAATAAATGCATTGAATAATCTGAAGCTTACCCAGCTCTCATTTAGTGAGCACTTCACTAGAAGAAGAAAGTAATAGTGGTTAAGGTACTGGGAGGAGCAACAGACTATCATCCATGGACTATTAAAAATTCCCTAGGTCACTGTATTAAAATTATTCTGTCTTGCATATATAAAGAACAAACTTTAAACTCAGTCATCTTCAAGTTCAAATGAGTGGATTCTCTAGAATTATTTCCTCTTTTAAATTCTTTCTGTCTTCATTGCTTTTTAGCAATGCTTCTACGAGGAACTCATTATGTAATAAGTATAACCTTGTCTTTCTTTTGAAAATACCTATAACAATAAGATTTTATACTTGACAGAAGTAGCCCAGTAGTGTAATTGATAGAAAAAAAGCTTTAAAAAATGGCTTGCTCAGCAGATAATAGAAAATTTATTAAGTAGTACCCCTTTTAGATCATTGGTACATGAAGAAACACATTTATGTAGTTTAGAGTTATTTTGATATTGCTGTATTATTAAATTTGAGATTATATGGGGTATATAAAATTCACTATTTATATGAGTTTCTTATGTTCCTTTAGAATTAGAGTATTTTATAGCCCACAGAGAACAGATTTTTAAAAAAATGTAACGATAAAATCTCTCGTAATTTTCCTAGGCTGTATGTACATCCAGACTCTCCTTTTACTGGCGAGCAGCTACTCAAACAGATGGTATCTTTTGAAAAGGTGAAACTCACTAACAACGAGCTGGATCAACATGGCCACGTGAGTACAGTACCTTGGACTATGGATTCCCTGGGATGAAATTGAGAAGTCACACAAAACTTCCTCTAAGTCTCTTCCTCCTCTTGCTCTGCCCCTCCCACCTCTGTACCTGAATCATTCTACAAGAATATTTATGTGTTCTTTGGGGAATCTCGACCGCTATTGTCTAGAGGCCATTTACAGGGATGCTGTGTGCCATTTCCGTGCAAGAGGGCTGGGAGTAGTCATCACCATGGATTTCCTAAGACTTCAGCAACTGCTTTTCTACCTGCACCAACTAAACCAAGGGAACGTGCACTTCGGAGGCTACTACCGTCCATTTTGGGGTTAAACATCTAAATTCTGTCATTGGTATACCAGATGACAGAACATAAGGCACTAGGGCAGAGACCTCCTATGCGTGATTTTCCTAAGTGTCTTCTATAGGAAACATTCATGGGAGATGCAATAACACACAGGGGTTTTATGTCCAGATAAATTTGAGACAGTGCTGTTTACTCATTATATATCCCCTTTGTAGAGAGTCTTAGGAATATTAAAGTACAGAGAAGTCTTGCATTTAAAACAAAATAGTTTGATTTTGAGTCCATAAGGAGTTCATCCAAATGCGGAAAAAAGAGAAACTGAAATTCTGAGCTCTTCTCAATAGTTAATAGAACAAACAGCCACTGACACAGGCTTTTGCATATACGATAAAACTGCTTTTTTAGGAACTATTTGTGATGTTATTTTATGCTCTTAAGATTTACAGAAACATTCCATTTTAGATTTTATACTAAGAACACTTCAGGCAGACTTGCATACTTCTTTTCGATGTGGAGAATACTGTTTTTCATTAGTATTTTCATAGTGGCTTTCCTTAGCTTAGATATTCTAATATAATTATTCTCTCACTTATACTCCTTTTAAAAGCTGTCCTTACTTAAGATTTTAGTTTTTGTGGGATCTATGCACTTTAGAAGAAGAGTTTCAAAACTTTTTTCAAAAAAGATGATTATAAGTAGATAATAAATTAGAGAGTTCTAGACATCGTTTCAAATGGATGGATTGAAACTGAAAACAAATAAATCACTTCAGGCTCCTGTTTGAAGCTCTCATTTGTTGCTGCCATCCATTTGCCCACAGGAGACCTTGTTTATCATGACCAAGTCAAAGTCACCGGGTTAACTCACGACTCTACTGGTGGCACTGTCAAGATGTTGGAAGTAGATTAACCGGTTTCTGTTATTTTGTGTGTTGGAAAAGATAATTGACCTTTATCTTTAAGGATGTTGGCATAATTGCTCTTTTTTTTTCTAAAGATGTTTCTATTGACAACATTGTTTTTTAGGTTAAAATCTATGAAGTATCCGAGAGACATTTTCTGTAGGCCGATGATCATTCTTAATATCATTCATATTGAAATTCCTTGGACTCTAATCACTGTGCTGTACAACCGAAACTAATATATTATTGTGTGCCGTCTATAATTGAAAAAAACTCATTGAATTGTACAATGTAAAATGAGCAACTAATTGTCTATTATGCTTCAGGAAAGCTGGGGAAAATAATCAAAAAAAAGGAAGAGACAGATCTTGGGTAGACAAAGAACAATGTCTGCTACAATACATATTAAAGTCTCTATTATCTAGAAAGAAAAATTTCTTGGGCTCCACTGAAACCTTTGCAGGGAGAAATAAAATTTTTTAATGGTTCTGGAATTTTCCATTTGTGAAGCTTTTAGAAGAACTGGGTCTTTCCAGGAAGACTTGAGAGTTCATGCTGAGATCAGCTGCCTAGAATTTGATATGTTTTTTTTTTAGCACCGGCTTCATGGGTGGGAATCGCACCGAGCTGTATGTCAGGAGCTCAGGGTTCTAGTCTGATTTTGCCAAGATGAGATTTTGATAAATTGTTTAGTTTTAAATGGTTATTAATATCCATTTTAGCTTTAAATTTTTATTTATTATTTATTTATTTAGTTATTTTTTTTTTTACCCCCGGTCTTCCTAGGTGGTCTCTCATCCAAGTACTAACCAGGCCTGACCCTGTGTAGCTTCCAAGATCAGACGGGATCGGGCGTGTTCAGGGTGGCATGACCATAGACTTACATTTTTATTATTTAATATGACCCTTTGTCACCAGAAATAGTGTGTTCTGAAAATTACAAGGAAAGATTTTTAGATCCTATGTTGTTTGGCCAAATCCTTTAAATTAGTCTCGAGGAAGCTTGTCTCACTGATGCATTTTTAGTTTTAAAATGCGAAAAATGCTTACTTCCAGGAATTAATTTTGAAGTAAAATGAAGCAGAGTCCACATTTCCGTTGGTGTCCCTGGGGCTGCCAGAGGGCTTCAGCAAAGAGTCAGGGAGCCCTGGGCTCTGAGACTGGTCTGGGCTCTGAGTCTGTCTGGCACCCTTTCCCAAAGGAAATTGACCTTGGGGTGGGGAGAGGAGACCTTATTTCTCTCTTCTTAGTAAAACGTACAGTGAATGCTCAAGTTTATATATATGTATATCAGTATTAGGAGGCAAATGTTTGCTTTTGTCTTTTGAGTTTATTCCAGCTTTATGACTAAGCATAGATATCCTGAACTTATACTCACTATACAAAGAGATGACTTTTTAAAGTTTATTTCAGTTCATTGAAAGCTCTTATTTGTTTCGGTTATCCCTATTCGGGTTTGGGATCATAAAAAGAATGGCATGTACAAAATTCAATACCAGTTAATGCCCTGTATTTTCAAGATGGCTTACCTCTCAGCACAGAGAGATCGATTCTATATTGATTATCCCACAGTGACTAGTATTTGACTCTGCAAAAGTCAATCAACTGTCAGGAACACTCCTCCACCGCACCCATGTTAGTCAAGAAAACAAGGAAGCCGTTAGTTGCGATAACACCGTTTGCAACTGAACCTGGTCCCGCCACAGTATTTATAACACATCTCCCCCAGGAGCCAAGCTCTCTGCCAGGCCCTTGGGATAAATGCCATATGACAGATTTAGGTAGCTGTCTGGATGGGAGGTGTGGGGAGGATATGGAAAACATTTTATATCTGAAAGTCAATTTGTTGCTCAGATTTCATAATGGCAAATTATTACATTTTATTTAAAATATACATGAAGAATACTGCCTTGTTAACTGGGGTTTGTTTGTCGTTATTAGCTATGGAATAGAAGATGGCCATCACTTTCATTCATGTTTAGTTTATAATTGGAAGTGAAGAATCCATGAAGCTGTCAGAAAAAATAAAATAAAAATAATAATTTTATGTTTACTGAGCATGTCCTATTTACTACGTGATTGACAAAGGTTACATCATCTAATCCTCACCAAAACCCTAGGAGTTTAATATTCTTTTTGCATTTGAGAGAATGCCATTGGGGAGGTGAGATCACGTGCCCCAAGACTGACGAGCTTGACAGTACCAGATTCAGTATTCCGACCAAGGTCTGATGCCACACTGCCTCTCTAAACTGTTTTATTTTCCCTTCCATACATAAAAATCTATCCTCCTAGCAAATATAATTTCTTACATTAGAAAATTTAGACATACATCCTTTGGTTTAACCAAACTAACAAACAAAAAGTAATTCAAAGACTTGATTTAAAAATAAACGTATTCTCCAGATGACTTTCCCCTCATCATTTTAGAAAGGATACTTGAAACAGCCAGTGTTATTTGCAGTTGTGGTAAAGCGTGATTCATGAGGATGACTCTGCAGTATCTTGTGAAAGTGATTTGCTTTGAGAATGGGCAGGGTAGGTCCTGATCTTGAAACTCGATTTGAAACTGTAGATTTTATGGTTCTCTCTTTGCTTCATTGTAATTTGGCCTGTTTAGTCATACAAATACTTAAAACTCAGTACTCCCCGTCTCCTCGTTGTAGATAATTTTGAACTCAATGCATAAGTACCAGCCACGGGTACACATCATTAAGAAGAAAGACCACACGGCCTCTTTGCTTAATCTGAAGTCTGAAGAATTCAGAACGTTCATCTTCCCAGAGACAGTTTTTACGGCTGTCACTGCCTATCAGAATCAACTGGTAAGTGCACCGCTCACAATGTATTTCTTAAATAAGATAAAGATTTAGGAGGTTCTTTCATTTTCTTGGCGAGAAGGGCTACCCCAGTACTTAAAATAGAAGTTTCCTTTGGCGACAGCAATCGAATATCAGCCCGGGACCTCTGCGTGCTGAGTTAGGAAGGTTGTGAGGGTCTGTATTACATCGTCTTTTCTAGAATCTGTTCTCTGGTCAGGTTGTTCACTGCCCTCTCTCCCACCCAAACCTGCCCCTCTCTGGCTTCTCAAATTTTCTTCTCGAGAAAATTACCCATTTCCTTTCCTCCTCCTGTTAGAGCCTGACAATGTGCATAGCCATACTCTTCGCTGCTCCATAAAATTTAGAAGTTCGGTTTTTCTGCTAAATTAGCACACATATTCTAGCCAACTTCCCCGATGACTGATACTGTAGATAGTTTGTGAAGTGTATTCAGGTGTAATTTAGGGTCTGATAATTATAGTAGAATTATTTTTAACGTCTAGTATGTAAGCAGTGTGTATTTAATTAAATCAAGGCATTTAATTTATGACACTGAGTTATTCATTTCTACTCCACATCACGTTTTTGATTTATGCATTTCTTCATAAGATTTAGTCCAATTCGACAAACATCTGTCGAAGTCTTACTAAGGACTAGGTGCTGTTAGGTCCTTCCCCCCGCCCTCCCCCCTTTTTTTTTCATGGCCAGCACAACCTTGAACCCTGGGGATGACAGTAGGGTTCCACAGTGAGGACGCTGAAGCTGCGAGGGGATACGTCACTCTTCCACCGTCAGGAAAGACCAGAAGTAGAATTCCTTCTGCTTCAGTAAAAGGAACGCACATGGTCGTTTCCTTGACGGATTCAGTTGTTTGCACCCTCCCTGGGTCTTTGCCTCTTGCTTTTATTTGATCAGTTATGGGCACCCAGGAGCACTGCTCTCCTCTTGTGTTGCTGTCGTATTTTGGGATCTGAGCGAATAATTGTTAGGAGCTGCCCATCGCAGGGTGGCATGGTCAACCTGAGCAGAGAAGGTGTTGAGTCTCTCAGGAAAAGCCAGAAGATGAAGCTGAAAGCCCAAGTAGCCCCACACTAATAAGGAAATGGGAGCCCAGAGAAGGGATGAGGGCGAGTGGCCGGAGTGGCTGTGTGTCTGCAAGGTGTCAGCACCTGTAATTTCTGTGCGACTTGAGTAGATTTCACTCCACCACTGGGGCTGCCATTTTCCTTACCCGTAAATGGGGCTAAGGATTGCCTAGGCCGTGTCAGAGAATTTCTGGGCGGATCAAATGAGATGCTGTGAGTAAACTGACTTTAGAAAACTATCCAAACGCTATCAAAACGGCATGTGGTTATGACTGGACAGTGTCTCGATTGTCCAGAGAGGATCTGTCGCCATTTGGATTGTAAAATGTTAGTGAGATATTTTTAATGAGATAAATAAATGCAAAAATGCTATTATAATTATCATCTGAAAGTAGAAAAGCAAAGTATCATACATTTTGAATTATCTTAAGATTAACACTAGAGGGGAAACGTCCAGAGAATGCCCAAGCTGAAAATTTGGGTACAGATTGAAGCCCACAAAGGCGTAAAACACTAATGCTATTTCTCCGAGTATCTGGAACACTGACAAAAACTATCCCATTTTTAATTTATTTGAAGACACATGCAATTCAGATATCATGGATTCAGGAAAGATTTTCGAAACATTCATTTTACATGAAATGAATTTGTAACATTTACATTATAAAACATTAAATTTATACTATAATTACTATATTTTTTATAATACATAAATACATAGTATCTCTTTATACTATAATATACTAATATAAGAAACCCTGTTGATGTTTGAGAATGAAATAAAAACTTGTCACGTGGGGAAACTTCATTGCTTTTATCAGAATCCTCTGTAAAGAGATCCGAAGCAAGAATAGGTAAATTGGATTATTATTATTTTTTTTTTGGTGAAAATTACAAACAACAAAATTAAAGGAAATTTCTAAGTATGACACCTTCGATTTGGTTTAATAGGTGAAGGAGCAATCCTGAAAAAATGGGGGTGGGACCTCTCAAATCATGGTACCTTGGAATAGGAGGTGATTATCTACATAATTATAATAACAGTTAATATTTGGGTACTTATGATATGCAAGGCACCATTTAAAGTGCATTGTCTTATTTAATCTTCACCATGATATGGGATAGGAACAACAGTATTTCTATGTCACATTTTACAGCTGGGAAAATTGAGGCACAGAGTTAAATAGCTCATCCAAGATGACTTTGCCTCTCCCATCACAGATTTGAATCCAGGTGGTTAGGTTCAAAAGTCAGTGTCCTTAACTCCTAAGCTTTAGGTACCTGGTGTCCTCTCAGCTTGTGACCCCGATGGACTCTGAGGCATCCTTTTTAGAGAGTTTCAACTCTTCCTGTTCGTCTTTTTTTCTTTTCAACAAGTGCTCGCCGCTTACCTGCTGCGTGCACAACAGCCAGTGTAACGAGATAGCAATCGTCCTAAACCGAAGGTCGAAATGTCTGCTAGCAACAGCTGCATTTATAGGAGCCATCTGTTTTAAAGGCATTATCTCATTTAATTCTTCTTTTTTCTCGATTTTTTATTTAGAAAGAAGTCTAGATATCTAAAAGTTAAACAAATGGTAAAATGAACCCATACTCTCTACCCAGATTCAAAAATTAATATTTTGACATATTTGTACCTTCCCCACCCTATTTCTCTATCTCTCTATGTATCCATACTTTCCCCCTTCCTGTAATCATCTGAAACTAAGTTGCATGCCTGTAAATACGTCTACAAATATATACTGACAATAAGAACATTATTTTTGTAACTATAATATCTTTATCGAAGCTAAGAAAATTAATAAAAATTATTCCTTAATATCACCTAACATTCAGTTCATATTAAAAATGTCAAGATAGACCAACAAATGTCTTTTACAACCATTTTTTCTCCTCTGAACTAGGATCCAGCTGAAGTTCATGGTTTGGATTTATGACTTTTAATTTGGAAAAATCTCTCTATATTTTTTCTCAATGTCTCCCTTAATTCCGATGCTAACACCTTTCAGAAGGCTCCATGAGCCCTATTTCATAGATGAAGAAACTGAGGTTCAGAGTAGTTCATATACTTGCCTTAAAACACAAATCTGCTAAGTGACAGAACCATCTCCTGGGTCTTAATTCCTCCTTTCTGGTGGCATCATGCTAGATTTCAGTGTCAAGTTTTGGAAACTGAATTTAAAAATGTTGCCCAACTAAAATAATTTATTTCTATAGAGCCATCCTTAACACCAGATTCCCTAGCACAATGCCATATGTATTTTAAATTCAAGTAATAGTCAAATATTTGATTTGTTATATTAATACGCCATGTTTGACATGGTTTATAAACCTTAGATGACTAATCAAAATTCATGTTCAGTAACATATATGGGGTGAATAAGTCAATTTGAGAGTTAGTATTATCATTAGTCTTTACACAAGTTTTGAAAGTTATCTTTGATTCTTTCTAGGTCTCCCCACAACCCGCTTTTTCATTATTATATCATCTTTGTGCACTGACTTTCCTATAGCAAACATGTAATAAAATATTTAGGAAATAAGTATGTACCAAGTATAATATAATATTAGAATTTTTCTATGTATAGAGAAGAGAGGAAAAAAATTACAAGTTCACATTTGGGATCACCGTCACATCTCTTAAACTTTAGATAGGACTGTTATTTTTATATCTAGTAAAAGTCAAATCAAAGTTTCCAATAGAATTTGTGAAAAAGCTTCTCATTAATTGTGGCTGGTAGTTTAATTTATAAGTAATGGAAATGGGGCCTTTTTACTGTTTTTTTCTCCGGTTTTGGCGAGGAAATGATTGCATTTGTCTACATTATTAGATAAAAGCTAAATACATTACACTTTCAACAAACTGTTTTATAATTTAAGATTTAAAGGTCATACGTTGTTTTTGAGCAGGCAGACCACTGCTGTAGAGTTGAAGTGTAGGTCAGGTTTCATTTTTAAATGCCTTTGGACAGATCTTTTCCTGATAATTGGAGAAATGGTCTCTGAGGGCCAATTTCACCTTGTGGCTGGGAACTCCCAGCTATATTCAGAGTCTCGTGATGTTGCATGGAATGATAACCACTGGAAAGGTCTCCTTCTCTTTGTTGTGACTGGCAGTGTTAGGACATGCATTCTGTTCTACATTATTAAGATAACACATGAAAAAATGAGTATATCTAGACCTGAATTAGTCTGTAGTTTACATATACGTAGATACATACTAAAGGATTTCTTAAGCCCATACTGCTATCCTTACTTAATGCTTTTTCCTCGCAAAATGAAAAATGTTGCTGCTTTTAAAATTTGTTTTTGAACTATGAGCCATACCTGTGGTTTGGCTTGTACAACATTCTCTATCTATTATGTTTGGTGATTAGCCATTTTTGGATTCTTCTTTTAGTATTACCTTTGACACTGTCCAACAGTGTTACGAGCTGCAGGAATTTTGTATGCGGGAACAGATGAAATGATGTCCAGCTGAAATCACTGTCTGGAACTCAGGTCCCTTCTCTCATCAGCTCCCAAATGCGTACCTCTTCAGCTGTCCCAAAGTTCAAAAAGAAATGTAAAACTCCATCGGCAGAGATGAATGTCTTTCTTTATAACTACTGGTTTTTGTTTAAATATCCATGGAATAAAATCTATGCCTACTCTTGAAAATGCGTGATTACCAAGAATGTTAAAATGTTTCTATTTAAAAATTATTTTATCTTAAGATAGAAAACAAAATAAAATGCTTTTAATGTATACTCAAGAAGAGGTTCACCTCGTCTGTAACTGGTAAGAAGGTGAAACTATACAAGTGACTGTTTGCTCTCGAAACCAAGCTCAGCCAACGTTTCTGGGTGCTAATTGTTGACATTCCAGTGGACTCAGAGTCTGGTAGGATCACAGAGAGCACAGGAGGTTCATTGGGACGTTTGAACTTAGGTCCTTAGGCTGTTACTCAGCACTCCATTGAACTGACTCAGATTGTGGTGTTAATCCAGGGCCTCCACACGATTTTAGTAATTGGAGAGGCAGTTGGCTTTTCCCCTCTAACTTCCAAAAGCAGTTATTTTCCATGGAATTAGATAAAACGATCCAGAGAAAGTAAATACCTAATTATTGTCTTGAGCGCCTTTCTAATTGGTGTCTAGGTCTATGAAAACACCTTGTCCTAGTCTCTAAACTTTCCTGTAGTTTGAAATTATGTATCAAAAATGTAAAGAAAAGAAAGTTACCATCGACAGCCCTGGGGCTTATGAAAGAGGGACTTAAAAGATATTGGAAGCGGAAAATTCTTATAATGAAAGAAATTCCAAAGAAATCTGAAAGGTGTCTCTGGTTCTCTTTCAGATACTACTAATCATGTCTTTGTCTCCCTAGGTACTTTTCAGCTCTAACACTCAGAAATTTTACAAGTCGAGTATCTTTTAATCAGCGTTTTCTTTCTTTTCTTTCTTTCTTTCTTTCTTTCTTTCTTTCTTTCTTTCTTTCTTTCTTTCTTTCTTTCTTTCTTTCTTTCTTTCTTTCTTTCTCTCTTTCTCTCTCTCTCTCTCTCTCTCTCTCTCTCTCTCTGTCTCTCTCTCTCTTTCTTTCTTTCCTTATTTTTGTTTCGTAACCTAATGCATTTTTCTTTGAGGTGCAGTGCATATGAATTAATGACTCTTTCTACATTAATAGTAATACTGTGGGATTATGACTAGCACAGCATAGACTCTTAATACTTCAGACCACGATTCTTATTAGGAAAAATTTTTTCCCATATACGTCTATAAATAACATTGTATGAGAGGATAGTAAAAGACTAACTAATTTGATTCTATGTAGATGGAAGATGGAACAGATGGAAGGGGGAACATGACACAAACACATGTGTCTCAATTTAATGTCGAACATGAAGCTATTATTAGCCATTCTCTCTCTCTCTCTCTCTCTCTCTCTCTCTCTCTCTCTCTCTCTCTATATATTTCAACATATGAATAGGGATACATAATTTAGTTCATAATAGCTTGTTTCCACATTATATATTATGTGCACACACATACACACACACATACACAGACACACATACACACACACACATATATATATGTGTATATGTATATGTATATGTATATGTATATGAATATATACACATGCCCATGGTATTAACAAATGATGTTGCCGAGTCAGCATCAGGCAGCGTTCTTGTTTGTATTCCCCGTTACCCACCAATGCTGGCCTTCTCGACACCCCTCAACTCCCCAGCAGAGCCCTAGCCTTTCGCTACTCTCTTGAATACTTCACACTGCAGCCCCACTGCTCAGGAAAGGCCCCCAGCACTAATTGCGTCTGCTCATTGACCCCCGGCCTGTTCTCTAGGTCCTCAAACACCTCCTCTCTGAGGCCTTTCCTGACCATCCCACCAAATCCATCCCTTCTGTAGACTTCTCTAGCAATTTCAGCCTTTCTTGTGATACTAGGAGACAAGATATTCTCAGGTGATGCTCTAAGGGGAAAATGAACAAACTCTCTCTTTCTGATTTTATTTCTTTGACCTCAGAAATAATATTGTTTCTTCACCCATTTTTCCCTTTCCAGATAACCAAGCTGAAAATAGATAGCAACCCTTTTGCCAAAGGATTTCGGGATTCCTCCAGGCTCACTGACATTGAGAGGTAATGAGAATTTTTTGTTTACTTTTTTGTTCAGATAAGATAAAGAGAAGAGCGAGTTTGTAAGAACACACTCCTTTCAACACCAGAGAACCATAACTTTGCTGTCCATAGTCTCCAATTCTCTCGACTCCCCTTCCCTTCCAGTTATAAACCCTGTAGATATGTAAGTGCTTAAGTTTTGGCAGCTGCTGCAGCTGGATCTAGTCTATGCTCAGTTTCTGAGTGAAGTGATTTCTTTGGTCAGGACACCTATTCAACTGGAAAAAATAGGTTTTCTTTGTTATCAAAGACTCAGTCCTCTTGGTGATGTTAAGCTCCAGATCTCGAGTGGCCATCTGCTGAGAAGTGGAATCTGGATGGCCTTTCCTTACGAAGTGGACACATTTGCTAATGCAAGGAATGGAATGGTAGCTGAGAATGTTGAAACAAGGAGATGTAATTTAATTCAAGGTACATATTTTACTTACCGTTTGGACTGCTTGTATTTAATAGGAGAGGTATCAGATCTCAGGACCTTTAGGAAGACAAATGACAATTATGTGCCTACAACTTACCCCACTTTTAACTTAAAATGGTTCACACAGTGTGAGACTGCACGTGTGATGAGTAATGACCATATTGAGATTCACAGTTTACCCGGTAGGAAAGTAAAGAAAAAAAAATGCGTTTTCAAAGAGAAGACTTTTCAACCTGATCATTTGTGTCTCTTACACATACTACGTAACTTTCTGTACTTATTCTTTTTTCGAGTAAGAACATTTAAGTTGTACCTCTTAGCAAATTTCCATTACACGATTCAGTGTTATCATTTTATTAGACGTTAGATGCTCAGACTCTTTTCATCTCTTGCGCTTACTCGTTTATGCGGCCTGAAGTCTTTATGACAGGTGGGTACCCTAGCATCAGCCCTCCGGCTTATCTCCAGATCTCCGTGTGATGTCCCCGCCAACTGCTACAGTGTGCCACACTCTTTGTTACTTACCACGTGGGTCACATTTTCTGAACAAGGCGCTTCTCCCCAACCTGCCCTGGCAACTCAAATTAAGGGACAAATTACATGTGTTATCGACATCCGTCTGATCCTTTCCTAAGGCAGAGCATATAAGGTGGTTTTAGTTTTGGGGAGCAGATATGGAGGCTTGGTGGGGAGACCGACAAGCCAGCAGGAGAGGCTGAAAGTTGGGCAGAAACTGTGGGACTTGAGTAGAAAAGAAAGATTAATTAGTTGGAGAGCTTGACAAGTATTGAGATCAAGGGAAGAAGCTTGAGCTTATGGTTGAAGATGCATTGTAAAAACAGAAAAGGTGAAGAAATGGGCAAATGGGTCATAGCAGGCCTTGAGACCCGAGTCAGTGAGAACGTGGTATCAGCAGTGTGGGTAACAAATGAGTCCATTTACAAAGGCTACTTTTATTTAGACATGACCCTTTTCATCTATTCTAGAGAGCCAGAGGCACTGATTCAGCCTGGGTTGATGGAGGTGGGATTATAATCAGTGAACTTTTTCAGTTTTAGTCAGGTGTCATTTTTTTTGAGACAGTGGCTCAGAGTGGCAGCAGTGATGTGCTTTTATAGTGTACCTCATACCTTCTGTCTCAGATAGGAGGTGAACATGTTTAATTCAGAGACAAAGACATGGGTTAGAGTCCCAGCTCTGCCTTTCACTGGCCGAGTGATCCTGGAGAAGTCACCTAACCTCTGAATCTGTTTCCTCATCTAGAAAATGAAGAAAATAACCTTACTCACTTTAAAGGCTTGTTATGAGAACCGAGGAAGATGACATTTATGAAAGTGGTTTATTAATCTAAAATAATTGTAAGTTCCTCATCTTATTGGATGAGCATCTTTTTTGCCTTCTCCTAACAGTCTTAATAAACTACTCTTAAAGTAAAAATAGCCCTTTAGTTACACATGTGCTCATGAGACACGAGTGCCCAGACCAACTGCCCTTTAGAACGACAGATTTGATAATGCATGCAGCACATTTTCCACTTATCGAATAAGCATCCTGATGCGGGGAGGGCACTCACATGTACACAGAGCTAAGTAGCTTTCAATGGTCTGAGGGCCAAGAGAGCATCTTATGCGACTAGCTGAAAGTTTGCAAGATGACCTAAGTAGTGTGAAATTGGCCAAGGTTTTGGATTTCATTTCCAGGTATTTAAGTCTGAATTTTTCCTAAACAGCCTTTGGGGATGGGACAAATCAGATCAATTGATCTTTAGAGACCTAAAGAAATTAAATTAGTCTGGAGTCAGTTACTGCACTAAACCATCTAGTAATTGAATTGCTCCTTGTAACTGATTGAAAACAGCCCTATCTGTAATAATATAGGGGACTTTTCTTTATAAGGGATCTGAGAGAAAAACACATCTTTTTATGACATGATGACAGAAATTGTACTTTTCTAACCTAATTGAATTTGATGTTATAAATATGTGACCTCAATGATTTCAAGTTTCCTGTTCCAGATTTACAACTACTCTGTGGGACACCCAAACAAAAATGCCTTCAGGATTGGGGTCTGTTTGCCTTAAACCTCCAAACTCATAGTATTAACCCAGTAGAAGTACACTTGCACAAGCTTTTGGGATACTCCAAGGGGCTTTGTTGTTTTCTCGCTCTGGTTTTACTAGGCTCTGTTAGCATATTTGAATTTCTCGCATACTTCGTGGGTAGCCTCGGACAGCATCTCCCTTGTTTGTAAAAGGAAATCCATCTCATTAGCCAAAATAGGAAGCATTTGCGTTAGACGCTTTGCACATATACCTACAATGGATAGCTAAGCAGCAAACCAAAACCCAAAGGGATTTCTTAATATAATCTAATTTATAGTTCTTTAGTTCAGGGAAAGAATTATCTGCTGGTCCCATATGATAAATAACCTACAGTCTTGTCAGTTGGCCTTTTCTGTTTTTTTTTGGAGGGAGAAGGGAGGGGCACTTTGTATAGCAAGGGAAGGCACTGTGTTACTCATGAGAAAGGAAACACAACAAGGAGGGTTTTTAATGTTATTTTCAAAATTAAGTTTCCTTTGGCAGTTTTTTTTTTTAAACAAATAGAGTTTCACGCTCATTGCAGAAAAATACTGACAAATAATAAAAAGAGTATAAAAAAAGTAACAAAGTCTCATTCACTCAGAGATAACCACTGGCAAGAACTTACATATTCTCCTAGGTTCTTTTTGTGCATGTACAAACATTTACTTCCTTTAAAGTTGATCACACATACTATTTTAAATCATCGGTATAGACGTGTCACTGTGTATTTTTATAAGTGACCCCAATATCGTGTATTTATTAACATATTCCTTTTCTACATATTTATAATTCCCCATTATCACATGCTAAATTATTGCCTATAGTAATTTTTTCAGTTTCTTTATTGATCTGCCAGTATGGTACTATTGTACTTTTTGTAAATGGATAAAACATATAAATATTTGATGATACTTAAAGATCTGATATACCAAACTCCAAACCTTTTTACTTGTCATTTTCAAAATCTTTTGACATTTACACTTCTAGTCTTTGAAATCATTTTGTCAAGTCTTTCCAAAAAAAAGTCATTAGAATTTTGATTGGTCTTGTATTGAATTAATAAAATAATTTGGGGTAGAAAATTGGTATCTTTACAGTAGTGAGACTTCCTTCTAGATATATGCCATATATTTGTCCTTTTACTGAAATCTCTTCCTATGTTCTCTAGAAGTTTTGGTACTTTTAAGTTTGTAAGTTCTGTACATATTTTCTTAGGCACGTAGCATGAGCTATGGAGTCACTTATAAAAATATACTGTGACATGTCTATACTAGAGCTACACTGTCCAAATTAATAACCACTGGCCATAAATGGCTAGTGAGGACTTGAAATATGGCTATTCCATATTGAGATGTACACACACGCACACACATACACACACACACACACAAACACATTGATTTTGAAGACTAGTACAAAAAGGAATGAAAATAAATAAAAATATATCAATAATAGTTTAAAAATATTGATTAGATGTTGAAATAATATTTTGGACATATACTAGGTTAAATAAAATATGTTAAAATTAATTTCACCTTTTTCAAAAAATGTGGCAACTGGACTATTTAAAATTATACATGGCTCACACGATCCTTTCTGTTGGATAGCACTGGGGGGTGAGGTTTGTTGGGGAGAGAGGACCTGCTTTTGAAAATAGAATTTCAAATTAGAACTCCACCTAGTTTAGTCTGTAAAAAGCTATTGATTCCTATATGTCTGGCATCCTGCTGTTTTACTGAACTTAAAACATTACTTTTAATAATTTTTCCTCTTAGTCTCTTGAATTTTCCAGTTATACAGCTATATCATTTGCAAAAATGATAATTTTATCTTTTTCTTTCTGATAGTTATGCTTTTAAAAATGTCTTTTTCTTGTTTTATTTTACTGACTAAAATTTCCAGGACACTATTGAAAAGTAATGATGATAGCATTTTCTTTTGTTCTTGACTTAGTCATGCCTCTATATTTTATCATAATATTTGGTTTTCATTGGCTGTTGGTTTCAGATGGATATTCTTTATAATTTGAGGTAATACCCTTCTATGCCTAAACTAATAATTTTTTGTTACCCTGAATGCTACTTGAGTTCATATTAAGTGCTCTTTTAATATCTAATGAGACAATTTTAATTACTTTTCTACTTTTAAATAACAATATGATTAGTTAGTCATATTGTCTATGTTGAACCATCCTTGTATTCCTGGAATAAATCCTGTCCAGATTGTATCTATTTTTCTTGTAATATATTGCTAGATTTAATTTACTCATTTTACTTAAGACTTATTGTATCAATCTTCGTAATAAAGATTTGATATTGTTTCTTTTTTCCTTCTCTGTCAGTTTTTGGCATCAGGTTTCTGTTAGTTTGTTCAGATGAAATGAAACATTTTCCTCGTTTTTATTGTCAGGGTCAGTTTAAATAGTAAAGAAGTCATTCTTTACCTGAAGATTTTACAGTC